GCTGAAGCGTGAACACAGACATGTACTTTATTACTTTAAATAATCAATCCGAGTCTGATTTTCAAACCAATGAAATAAAAAAGTTAATAATATGACAGATATACAGCAAAATTTTCCCTTTAGAAATTATCTTAAATTAAAAAGTACTGTTTTTTTCATTTAACCCTCTACTAAGTATTATATGTGCTAGTATTTTAATCACGTCTTCTTCATGTTCGACCTCTCAGCTCTATAATATTTCAGTACACAATCCAACGACCGGCCGCACGTAGTCTAGCATTTTATAAATGAATTACAGTTTCAATTTACACTCTCATTAAAGTGACCGATCGTGTTCTAGAGTGAGACAAATGATAAACTCTTACACAGAACTGTACCAACTTCGATTTAAGAGAAATTATAACGCTTTGATTCAAAATACTATAGAAATATGTCAGTATATACTAATCCCCTTATATATATATTATATGTATATATATTATATCTCAAACTAGATTTTATCGTTCCTCTACTTAAAAATGCTATCGAATAAAATATATGAAAATATAAAAGAATTAATTTACTTAATAGCAAGTCTAAGTCAAAGCGGTGCCAGTATTTCCACTATTTGGTTTGATGACTGTGAAAATAACTGGAGTCCACTAGATGTGGCTGGGGAGAGACTCGACATGTTTGGAAGGTTCCATCAGTCTTGACTAATTTACACTGAATAGTTGAGTTTCTAATATTAATATATATAATTAAATTGATAACATAAAAGCCTTAATATTCCGCATATCGTTTTAATTAAAATACTTTAATCAAACCAATTTATTTTATCTGTAAATGTCACGCTATCAGTCAAAATATATTTTATTAAATGCGGTGGAGAGGACAATAGTTTTAATAGAAGAATACAAGAATTATGAACATTGAATATAATACATAAAATATTTCTATTCATATGATACTATAATTAGTTACTATCTCTAGTTTATTTTGTACTTACAACTACATTATAAAAAAAATATTAAATTTTAACACTAATACTAATCTTTAGTATAATTTTAATGGAAATTTTTTGCTTACTAATTTATTAAGTAACAATGAAAACTTCTTAGTAAAAATCCATGAAAACTGAACCGGTTTAAACATGATAAACATCATACACAGAATGTAACAAGATTTAACGTAATTATACTGTACGTGAATGTTACCTGTGAAGCCTACGTTAAAAGCCACGGAGCCTTTTGTTCGGCAACACTACAAACTACTGGATTCATGAAAGTAGCAAGGACATAACGACTAAATTACATACTACAGAATAATTACGTTTCTACTTCTAAATCCTTTGCTCCATAATTTCCTACCATCACCTGACAGACTTATTGTTCGATCATAATTAATAAGTATTTAATTCAGTACGTGATATTCGTATATGTTTTAACCTTCTTTATGTGAGAAGAGGCCTTTATTCAGCCGTGGGCTCTGATAGGCTGATAATGATATAAGATCTTTTCGTAAACAAATGTAGACTAAGATTGAAATTGTCTAGAGTGAAAGCTCACATATTATATGTAGATTGTTAAAGAGGCTCTGGTTAAGTTATAAGTATTTTTCTATTATGTAGTATCCAATGAATTATGAAATCAATACATTCTGTTAAATCATCATTAATATAATTTTAGTTTCTTTTTAATGTAAACTCTTTAGTTAAGAAAATTAGATCAGATTGATTATAATTAAAGAATATATGAAATTAATTGCTTTATAAAAAATATACGATTTACGATAATAAAAATCATTTCGTTTCCATCAAAAACGGAACAGCTACATTTGAAAAGAATCTCTGCAGAAGACGTTATCTTACTATAAGATCAAGTAGTCTAAGGAAGTCTGATTATTATTATTGGAGTATAAAAAATAAATAAAAATAAAATGAAAAACACTCATCAACAAATAAATGAACAGCGATAACAAAACAATTATAAGTCGTATAAAGTTTTAAGAAATCCATTACAATAATGAGCTAACACATTAACGAATATTGGAAACGTATGTACATGAGAGATGATAAATTAAAAACCCCGCGGCAAAACATCACCCAGGCTGAGTATCGGTTACTTCATGATTAAAATCAAACCATTAATACACAGTGAGGTTTACGGAGAACACGCGATGCTACGGATCCTGAACGTTCAATTACATACATGATTTTAGCTAAATTAAATTTTTTCGTTGCTACCAAGCAATTTGAATTGATGACGTCATGTGTAATTAATAAAAATCTTTATTATATAAGTGAGATAGAACAAATATATATATTGTGACGTATCAGCCAACAAGAATATATTTAGATCGCATCAAACTTAACAATATGCCTGAAAATAGAATAACCGTGACATTTCCGTCAAAGTTTGATGATAGTGACGTCACGCCGATGAAAGCCCCACAACAATCCCTCAACGGAAACCAGCTAACAGCGTTAGCAGCGCCTCTGGCGGAAGTTGTTTGAAACGCTTCCTCTCAATAAACCGCATTCAAACCAGCTACGGACCCTTCACTGGATTTTAAAGCTTCGCTTCTTTTATACATATTTTAGAATACAAACTACATATATATGTAGTATAAGTTGTTCGATAAAGGAAATTAGAAAACAAAATGCCGCCGTCAGTAGAGTACCGTAAACAAATTCCCATTGATTGCTTGCATTCATGTGATAAAGTTAAAAGCTTTGTCCGACATTTTGTTAGATTAAAAAGGATTTTTGATAACGATATCGACGTAGTATTTTCAAATGAGTACAAAAAACGACTAAAGTTAACAGCTAAGATTACTTTAATATATTATGCATTTATATCAGTTTTTTACTGTTACTTTATAATCCTGTATCGCTATTGTTTTATTTATTAAAACTATATACCTAATGCTATTATATAAACAGGATTGGTTGACTGAAATTAAAGAAAATATAATATTACAGATTTTAGCATTCGCCTGTTGCATAAAACAGGATTTAAAAAAAAGTTATTTCAAATTCTAATCTAATACATGAGAAAAAAAGTTTTTTTTTTATTTGGATCGAGATAAAAATATAGGAAATATACGTTATTTTCTTTTAACAATGAAAACTAATAAGATTTTATCAAGTAGAGAACATACGATCGAAAACAAATGCATGTATGTATATTAGATTTCTCTAATACAAATTCTAATAGATCTATATCATTCTAATAGTGTTTACATTTCCAAATATTCCATAAACATGGTGTCGTATTAAAATTTACGAGAGGAGATATCAGTAATGCGGCCTTTGACCTATTTATTGATACATTTCATTTAGATAATCCATCGAGCGGCTCTAACATATTACGAATGTAATCTGCAATTAGTTACGATTTCCTACAAATACAATTTAATTGCTTTTACAAAAATTTATATCCCATTTACAATGTAATTAGACTACGCATTTATTATGAAAATTTAAGCTAAACATACAAATCTGTTTATTTTGAAATTAATACTGAAAAAAATTACTATTCTGTACGTCTTAAAATTTATATTCGACCATTATATTCACAACGAAATATATGGAAACATATGTATATTTTAGTTTAAGACTTGACTCCAATTATTAAGAGTTAGTAAGTCAAACTTTAATACAACATTGTTATAAGATCGCACACTGTCTCAATTCTTAACTAGCAGTTGGAGAAGTATATTGCTAAATCTGATTCTGTTAACGAGCCGCTTTCTGTACACAGTCTTTAAAGTGCCAGTTTCGAATAATTTTTTGTTTAATATTTACAATTTGATATGATTAATGAAATTACTTGAAAAATTAATTAAAAAATCTTCAATAACATAGTATGGAGTTGACATGTACCGAGACTGTTTCGCGGTTAGCCACAGCACACATATATAAAGAATTTATATAAAAAATAGTATTTAATTTAAGTATATTCATCAAAAATAATGTTATATGAAATAAACTAAATGTCTTCAATTAAATCTTCGATAAATATCATGTACTTCGCTATTATATCAAGCATAATTATAAATTTAAAATAGTATCTAAAACGATTTAACTGACCTAAAAATTCACTTCTAAATGTATTTTAATATTGTAATGATAAAATTATAATATGTTAAGCTGTGTTAATGTTTGTTAGACTTTCTGAAGTTTCAATGATTAATTATAAAAATCTACAATTGAAAAATAATTATACGTGTGTTATAACGAATAAAATGTACGATAAATTTTGCTTGGATACGATCCGAATCGAAAGAAGAAGCCAATTAGACAATAAAAGAAATAAAATTAATATAGAGTTTGTAGCGTGGTTTTGTGAAATCAAGATGCGAGTGAAACGTTTCAAGATAAGAAAAATATTATTTTTATAGTGTTAAATTTATTATTGAAAATGCTGAGATATACTTATTTATTTATTGTCATTAAAGAATAAATACTAGTTAAATTTTTAATTGTGTTAAAATATAAACATACTTCTATTGTTCGTGGATACATAAAATCATTTTCGCAAGGCCTTTCAAAGTTAGTAAGCTAAAAACTTAGTTAACTGTCGTCTTATTATAAATATAAAATGGCCATCAACTGCTCTCGGTCAGTTCCAGTATTGAAGATATAACTTGATCTTATTTCCAATATCATTCTCATTTTGCATCTCAACAAAGCCAATATTGAAGTAACTTTTGACTGTGAACTTTTGTGAACTTTTCATTGACATTTTATATATATAATAATATAATTTATATACTACGACATTCAGTTTTTAATATCATTCACTTGAACTTATTTTATAAGGAGGAACTGAATTTATTAAAGTGTCCAACAACATTCGATATATAAACAGAATTTTCCTAATCGCTTTACTGATCACGAATTAAAACAATTATATTTTTGTCATAAATAATAATAGTCAAATTTGTTCATTATGTTATGTGAATCTAGACAAATCGCCCTCAATGTGAACACAGCCTTATAATAATAATCGTCTCACCTGTGTAAGCCTGGCGTCAGCGCTGACAGTGTACACTCCACACTCTGCCACCTCCTCCGGCTTGTTGGAGGACGAGCGACGCCAGCAAGCTGCACACACAGCTACCAACACTCCGCAGAGAGTTGCACTGCACAGTAATAATTGGCTTCATTAGCACAGATGAATGAGGATAATTATGTGTATATCTCAGGGCTGTCAAATGAATAACATTATTCGAAAAAAATTAACAGGGATGTCAGCTGTGAGTTTAATGTGTTTGATGATCTAAAGTCGGCTGTCGATTTAAAAAAAATTACATATGTGATGTACATCTAAAGCATTCAAATCAAACAGACAATTAAAAAACTACGAATAATACAGTTCTTAACACTCACTAAAGCTGCACAATATGTGTATGTGAGAAAAAAATTAAGAAAACAAAAAACGGAGGATTTAACAAACGTTAACTTTTGTTTAATCTCCAACACGTACGAATTGTTTAACTTATCGTAGATAACGAAGGAAGTTTAAACTAAATATTTTCTTATACGAAGACTGGCATGTAAATATATTCATTGAATGTTAAACCATGATCAAATAATAAGACTGATACTCAAGATTTTTCATTCATACGTATACAATTAATATAATAAACAGTATTAACAATAAATCAGTCAGTGGTGGCCTAGTGGTTAAGGGGCCCGCCTCTCGTTGCCGAGGGCGCGGGTTCAAACCTGGCAAGTACCAATGTGATTTTTCGGAGTCTTATGTACTGTCTGAGAGTATTTAGACATCACTGACATACGGTGAAGGAAAACATCGTGAGGAAACCTGGACTTATAGTTTCACAATTATAAGTTTGAAATCACCAACCCGTCTTGAGCAAGCATGGTGATTAATGCTCAAACCTTCTCCATGTGAGAAAGAGGCCTTGCTCAGCAGTGGGTGCTGATAGGCTGATGATGATGATTAACAATAAATAAATACGAAGATATGTTTATTGTTCACATACAAATGGATACTAAGACTGATATTTGAGTAAAATCAAAATAATGCGGTGATAACATTATTAGGAAACTTGACGAATTACAAATTAACAGTCGTAAAGTCAGCAGTGTCTTGTTTCTCAACATAATCACTCAAAATAAATGGATTACTAATTACTATTATAATTATATTAGCAAATAGCCATAACATATTACATATTTGGCAGCTAAATGTACATAATAATTTCAAACAACTCTATGGATTACAAAATATTACATATTAAGAATACAACAACGGTTTTATTCCTTTATAAGTTGTTCATACTAACTTCTGACCCCAAAGTTAATACTTTAGAAATGTATGAAGAATTATTTGATATGTTATTTCGATTGACAGTTAGACCGCCTTCTACGCGGATCTAACCGTCTCCAACTACTAAAATATTGTATATGGACTAGATATTGTTGTGCTGTTTTATATAAAAATTATAAAAGGTAACCCTACTCGCCAAAAAAAAAACAGAAAATTACTCAACAAAGTAATTATACATTTGGAAACTTTGTTTGAACTTGTCGTACAATTTTTCTATTCTAGAATCAAAATTTGCTTGAAAATCTATTTAAATTTTTTTTATAATTAATCGATAAAGATGATAAAGAAACACATGAATAATATAGACAAAACCTTAATAAAAATGTTTTTTGGAATTGTAAATTTATTTTTTTATAATTAAAATAAATAATAATTATTAGTTTTATAGCATATTTTTGTTTCAGAATATATATGTATATTTAATATTTATTATATTGAACATTTTACAAAACCTAAACCTATTATGTTAACTAGTTTCAAGTGTTCCATGATAGTTCTTAAATGAATTTTGAAATGTCAATTCACAATTTCAGTCGCAGCAATTAGCGCCACAAAAAGTTCGTCTCGACGCTTAAAATACGAATACGGGGCAAATGGGAGAAATACCTAATTGAGTGCTTTTGAAAATAAAAAATACAAAAACTTCATGCAAATCCTTTTTAGTTTGATATTCTGATAAAAAAATCTGTAAAAATTATTTATCACTTTCTCCCAACCAGAGCACATTAATAATAATTATGTATAGCAATTTTTTCACGTTTCCATTTCCAGCAACAAATCTACTCCAAAATATAAGAAAAGTCACGTAATTGTAACATACAAGGAAATATAAACGATTAAATCCTACCGTCAAAAGTGTGATATATATCTCTGTGTAATATGACGTCACCTTCAAGATCTCTCAAGCTTGTATTTTCCGGGATACATATTTTAATAAAACCCTTCTTCGTGTATGCGTTAACCTGTATTTCATATACATTAATCCGACATTTCGATTTCTTTGCAGTAATTGAGTTCGCGGGAAGACGGTACGTGTGTGTGTGCATAAGTCCACATGTTTGTGTGTGTGTGTGTGAATAAATTCCCAGGTTGTTTTTGAACCGTCAAGGTGTACGCAGATATTATAAGAGTGTCATTTCCGTCTGAGGCTTATCTGCCGGTGACGGCGCGATTTACCAGATCAATGACAGGGATTATCGACTCTGAAGGTACACTCTGGTGTCAAAAGTATAATCTCGTGAATATAGTGTCTGAAGGAACACCAAGTATTATGATCATTAACAATCATAATTTTTCTACACTTAACAGTTTTTTATTTCCCACAAAGTTTAACTTTAGTCCATTTGCTACTAATTTTTGATAGACCCAATTGTATTCCACCTACTAATAGCTTATTATAGACTGAATTGTCCATCATCCTTTTCTTTTTCATAGACTGAACTGTAGTCCACCTATTACTAATTTTCCCGGACTCAATTACAGACCATGCTCCTCTATTCTTTGTGCAACGAACTATAGTCCACCTGCTACTAGCTTTTTCTGAACTGAATTGTAGACCATACTTCACTACCTTTTGAAACTGAATTACAGTCCATCTACTAGTACTTTTTCGTAGACTGTATTTTAGTCCATGTTCCACCACTTTTTCGCAGACTGCACTGCAGTCTATTCACTAATATCTTTCATAATAAACTATAGTCCATCTGCTGTTTATTATTTTAGACGCAGTTTCTTATTTACTGTACTACCAAAACTTTTTGCTCAAATCTCATACATAGTCACTTTATTTTCCAAAGTTTCATATACTTAAGAATATAAAACTCCCAACAAAGTCATGTCCTGGTTCATGGTTGCATCATTGTATATATGTATGTGTGTTACTTTAAACAATGTAACTTTTAAACATATATTGAAGTGGATACAGACTTTAAATTCCCTTATTAGTGAAGATTCAACCGAAGAAAATAACCCGACGGTTCGCCGCATCTCAATTACTATTCAATTTTTACTAACTTTATTCAACTTACAATTCTTTGTTACATTTTTATCTGACATAAAAAATAAAACTTATTATTTTGCTATTGTTTTATACATATGTAAGCTGTATTAAGAAATGAAAATAATATTCATACATTCGTTTATGTATATATAAACGAATTGTTCACCCCAAATACGTGCTCTTTTATTTAATAACCACTTTTAATTATGTTCAATGTATTGAAATCCGATGAAATAAATTAATATTTATTTCCAAGTATCTGCTAAGCCGTTAAGAGTAACATATATATCTCTCTCTTTCTTTATCTCTATCTATCTCTTTCTTACTCAAATCATTCTCTTTGTTATATGTAAATAACTTTCAACTTGTTTTTCAATACATTGCCTTACTTACCGTCTTTTAATTTATTTGTCACATATATTTCTAATCTTTTCATTACATCAAAAGGTTTCAGTACTACAGATGTTAACTTTATATCTGATTTAAATGTATTTACGATATTAGTTTTTTTTATATATTGCTTTTATTCTAAATATAGAAGTTTATCAATTTAAAATGTCAGCTTTTTAAATGGATGTCTGTTATTACATATTGATAATGAATTTTAAAGTGCATTTTTTTAACCGTACCCGTGATGTTTTAATTAATGTAAATGTTTATGTTATTACTAACGAAAATAATGCTTGTATTTAATATTTTTTTTATATTGACCTACATATACAACCTTTTTTTATTTAATAACTGATGCATTATTCTAATTTTAAATTCCTGTTTTCTCCAAGTCACTATGTAACATGTCTCGGCTCGTATTAACAGTTTTGGCAAACTTCTGGCAACAGTAATTGATACGGAAGCTACGATTGCTACGACGCTACGAACTTGCTACGACGCTACGAACTCGCTACGACCCGGGCTTATCAAAACAACGGCTTAGATAGTTCCTATAGTACTAGAATTACATTTACATTAAAAATACATAGCATCGGTTTAAACATAGAAGCATATGATTTTTTTAATGAAAGTGAAGAGAGATAAAAATAAAAATAATTCTCATACCGAAGCCGATACAATGCTGAAAGTGGCTCTGTTAAAAATATCATCGATTGTAAAACACTCGCCCGAATTCAAAGCACACTTCGGAATACACGTGGGAAAAAAAAGTCACGCTTTATATATACGCACTATTACCTTCATATCTTTGTATATATAATTCTTCTGTGAGTGTGTATGTCACTGAACTTCTCTCAAACGACTGGACCGATTTTGATGAAATTTTTTGTGTGTGTTCAAGGGGATCTGGGAATGGTTTAGATTCACAATTTTGTCCGCTGGACAATGTTTTTTAATTAATTTTTAATTGATTAGTAGTTGTTGATACACATGTTTCTTTTTTTGACATTAGATTTGAAAACTAACCAATATGTCAATCATTCTGTCGCACTTCAAAACACGGAGATTTATGGTTTTAATAGGTAAACTCCCAAAAATATAAAAAAAAAACGTAACAGATATTTCTTGATTATAGGGCGATACGAAAATCGCCGGGTCTTTTAGTTTATAAAGCGGCTGCTAATAATGCTATAGAACAAACCTGACGAATAATATATTGACGGTGTAATGAGCATCCACCGTCTGTACGGCGTCGGGCCTCGTGTGGTTGTAGTAGTGTTTAGCGTGTGACACCGCTGCCACAGCGGCCAGGCGTTGCGAGCTGCCCATGGCCCAGCCGAGGGGGCTCCGCTGAGCACTGACACTGACGCTCGCCACCGCCCACCACCCCACCAGCCGACGGCCAGCCACCACAAAATGACCCACCACTCCTATACACACTCTATCCGACTATATCTCTTCTTAGACTGGTTATTTTATGTCATTTTCATCAGCTCGCCTTTACATTTGTATAATCCAAATATTTGAACATCTGCAACAATAGATTTAAATTTCAATTTCTGAATTAAAAACCAATAGTATTTTTGGGTACGTTTTTGCTAATTAGTAACTCGCAAATTGTATTCTAACCGTTCTGTATTTGAAGGAAGTGAGCGGAATTCAATGAAGAAGTGAGCGTGATCAAATTATGAGAGGCATTTAGAATTTCTTGTGGCATTTAAAGAACAATAATTCTAATTAGTAGTCTCTATTTGTATTCCGTTTCGTCGTGGAATGCTACATTAATATACATTAGTCAATGTACCAACTGTCTACTGACGGACTAACGACTATTCATTATTAGTTTATTAATGAAACGAAAGTGAACTGAATTTTAAATTCATTTAAAAGTATCTACTATTTCAGTACTAATACATTTTTTTTTATCTACTCAAGCTCTCTCATGTAATCCGTTAATTCTAGTTTTTTTCCTAGTTTATACATTAAAACTTCTCTAGCAGATTATGCAAACTTCTGCTCTCTATGTAGTTTTTATCCTAAAGTTTCGTGCTATTAATGTCAGTGAACTTTCCTTTACGATGGCAACTTTTAAAAGGATTTAAGTTTGAGGCCTTAAGAATAATGTTGGTTGTTTTAGAGTGGACTTTGGGTTCGTATGACACTCCACTTGATCGACTAGTTAGTTATAGGACCTATGTTTAGGTTTATTAATAGTAAAACAAAACATTAAAATAAATTAATTATCAATTAAAAAAATAAAAAGATAATAACTGAAAAATTGTTATCGTTTTCGAGTATCCATACTTTTTTTCAGTATTAGTATACCATTTTCGAAGTTACTGTAATATTTTTTTATTAGTAAATATTTTCTCTGACATAAGCTTTAACCTGAATTATATATTATCATAAAAATTTCAGTTAACATAAAATATTTCTTGATTACTATCACCTTTTAAATCTTCGGCTATTTTCCTTAGTTTTTTTTTTTTGTAAAAATTACGAATACGGTTCATAATTACAATATATGCACTTAAATCGTTGTAGATATGTTATACATGAACCAATTGTGTTACAGTATACTATGAAATTCAAATTTAACTAACAAACAGATCAATATATGCCAAACACAAGTTATAAAACTACATGACTTATGTCTATAATAAGTTCAGTTAAATAATGTTGTAACATTCAATAAACACTAATCAATATATTAATAATATCTATATCACAATATAAATATACAATTACCTTAATGTAAAAATTTTATACATAAAACACAACGCGATCGCGAAAAACTTTTACAACGAACGGGAACACGTCTTACGTCTACCGAGCTCGGGTAGCGAATATACTCTGAAAACAACCCCAACTGATACACCAATACCACCAACCTCTGACAAACATTGGCCCAAGTTGGCCCATCATATTGGAGAGTCTCCCCTACCCCCAATAAGCCTTGAAAACGAACCGGCGTAACTTTGTTCGAGTGTCGAAATTGAATGTCCAGAATCTGACTCAACTACGAGTAGTTTCAGGATCACTTATTGTTATAAACTTCAATATATTAAAGCTACGGATTTTATTTACATATACATATTTATATTTCTTAACATACTTTTAGTTTTGGTTTCATTATCTTTGTATGATATACGCTCGCTATAAATAACTTGTATTGTGTTAATATTACTTTGTGATTAAATGTATTATAATGAGTTTCTCCAATAAAAGTTTTGTTATTTTTTATTTATAAGGCGCCATTCGTATATATATTTAATAAAGACTATATAAATACTAACAAATATTCTAGATAATCTATAAGTCTGAAATTGATAACGATTAATATCATTTTCGTAACATCCACGATGGGGACACATGTTTGGATTATTTGTAAATAAAAATGTTATTTTGTTTCAACTTTGAATGAAATAAATGTTTTTACCTAATAAAAAGCAGTGATAGTACACACAAGTGTACAACTGAGCCAATATTCGTGTGTTTGGTCCAACATTGGTAGCGTGTTACCCAACTCTTGAACTTTGTTGTCACTCGCCGGTCGTCCCCAACGCTACAAGCCAGTTCTCTAATAGTCAAGTAACACGCGATTCTGAACCTTATTGCAAGGACATTTGAAAGCTGTCATAAGGTAAGTATTTATTGTAGTTAGCGATTCTCGACCTTATTACAAGGGATGAAAGCCGTTGAGTCTAATCTAATTCGAAACGATTTTACCTTACACGTTGTAATTGGGCATCTATTTTTAGAATTATCATTGTTCGTGTTTGATGTTTTTGTGGTAATACAAATATATTGTAGGAATGTATTAATTTAATCCTCCATTTATTATAGTTTAGAGCGTTTCTATCAGAGTTCAGAGTATTTCATCATTGTTGACCTTTAAAAATGGTATCTTTGGAATCGATGAAGAAGAAAATTGAATTCCAATAAAATTGAATCAGTAAAGTAATAAATAATGCTTCATACAAACGTTAAATCATATAACGCTAAGCTATCTCCTACATGTGAACACAATCTCTCAAAATATCCACTTTTTGCTCAGTTACATGAACTTCCAGACTCATTTATTTGACGAGCGTCTTCATATTTTTTTACATTTTTCCTTGAATCGGAATCGATCCATTTTATTTTTAATCTCGAATACGGATTCTTGTTCTGCAGACAGGTCTTTTAAACGTTAGAGAGTTGGTATAACTTCATTTCATTTTTTATTCTACTGCAACTGCTCTTTATCTCGCTATCAATACTCAACTAACATTATTCGAGGATAAATAGAATTATATTTTAAATAATAAATATTGAATCGATTTGTTATACATACTTATTCAATAGTTTTCGATAGCATCACAATAAAAAATTGATATTTGCGTTTCAGATTTTTAAAACGGTATACTGAAACGGTAGAATTTAACGTAGTGTTGTGTTTGCACAAATAGAATATTTTCTAAAGTTAAAGAATACTTCTTAATACAAAGGTAAGATGTATCTATTGATAACACACAATGGAAACCTCTGCAATGTTCAGGAATACAGGAATTCCAATCTTTCTCACAGCGTATTGTACGGCCACTTATGAATTGCGATATATATTTCGACATTAACACGGTATACAATATATAATACATATAATAAAACTTAACGTATTCTAGAACTTTATGTATTCTATTATATCATGTATTCTTCATAGGCTATACTTGAGTGTTTCCGAAGTATATGTCCGTATATTAACTGATCGATGGATGTGAATTATTTAAGCAGCGGCCGGTTCAGTTACACTTTTACATGATATGACGTCTTACTGGCTAGTTTTAAACTTTTATTCCTATATCTGTAGCTAGCACAAATATTAGAATTCTATTTAAAGTACATTTTTAAACGCTCACTTTGATCTAAAAGATGGGAAATGATTTTTTTCTCGTATCGTGATTGAGATATCGAAAATATTTTGATGAGACAATCACGAGCGATATCTTCTTAAATAAAACATTTTCATTTATTTCCGTCCTTAAATGTACAGGAAAAAACCAAATAACTTTACCAAAAATCGTTTTCAAGGAAAACTGCATACGTGACTAACATTACATGTGCAATTAATAAAAGTATGACATTAAAGTTTTATATATTTTACGACGTATATTGATGGCATGTGTCGGTTCCCAAGAGACGGGAACACATGACCTGGGACTCGTCGTTCGACCAACGACACGGAACCACGTCAATGGTCGCCTATAAAACTACACTTGGAATGATTCACTTCTTAAAAGCTTACGTTTAAATTGAATTTTACTATTGAAATATATAACTCTACAGCCTAATATAAGCCAAAATAATTATAAGCTATAATTGTAGTAATATCACTCAGTTTCCGTTGAACTAATTATAATTTAAGTAACTAGTTTAGTGATGAAAATGTCTCTGCTCGAGATGAGCCTGTTCAATATTGCATTTGGGGTAGTGGTGGTAGTGCATTTCATAGTTCCCTGAGTCGCTAACACGCTCTGCATACTTTATGCTCTCCTGGTAACTTAGGAAAAACGAAACACTACATTGTTACCTTGAAAGGTATTCCTTTAATATTCATGGAATGTCCCCCATATAATATATATTTCAAAATTTCATTTATGTTAGTACAGTAAAATTCTTATCCACAATTTATACTTTAGGGTAAAAAATTGATAAATTAATTTGTGTCAGTTGTTATAACTAATAAATTACAATAGTACCTTTGTGAACAAATCTCAAAACATTAAAAATATATGTTAGTATAGTTAGATAGTTTTATATAATGCACATCTTAGTTAAAGCATATAGTAGTTTTAAAATTTTTCAATTCAGTTAAAGCATCTCAGACGTTGCTCGGATTATACGTATGTTGACTGTCCTATTTCAGCGGCCGGCTGGTCGACACAGCTTATAAAATTAAATGTATTTACTTCCTTCAATTAAGTATAGAATAATATTTATATAAGAAAACAGCTGATTCAGTATGTTTGTTATACCCAATCCTGTTTCAATTAATATAGTAGTCATGAATATATGTGTTGAATTCTTGCAACTTTTATGGTACGAGTTAGTTGTAACACAGAAGAATGTATGTAATCGTCTTATTATTACATACAGATAAAGATAATCCAATTATATTTACTAATAAGATAACATTATATGAATTATAATTTAATCTTATCACGAAGTTACGGTGAATTTTTATACTTAATTATGTTAGATCTCCCTTATAAAAAATATATTTGTAAGAAGGATCTATATAGAGTACTTTTAAAATAAATATGTGAAGTTTAAATCACTTGATGGCTGACCTAGAAGCCTCCACATCTAGGGCGCCTTTTAGCTCGTCAGTCTTCAGAAATAGACACACTGATTTCTTGTATAACCAATGCCAATTTAACACGTCTAACGGCTTTCTTAGACAAATCTTTCCCAAAGGAAAATACCTCTTACCGGAATGTAAGGAAACAATCTGTATAATAATAGTATTAGACATGAATTTTTCATGAATTCCTCCGATGTATTTTGTAAAGTTTACAACAATTTTCTATAGGAGTTAATTTTGTATGTATCTGTGTTTGGTTTAGGTGATCATTTAAAATGAAGTCGTGGGGGGAAACGTTATGGCGGAGTGCCTCCTCTCACTTCTACCGAGTGGGCAGACTGCGGCGAGCTCTGCTGCTGTTGGCTGCCGCTGCCTGTACTGCTGCTGGCCTTCTGTATTGGAGACAACAGACAGACGACTCCGCTAGGCGACCGCTACACTTGTACGCGTAAGTCTTATATATATCGACACTGATCACGAGCTTGCATCGTAAAATGAAATACCGAATTGTATCAGTTTATGATGAATCAATTTAAGCATATAAAAGTATTAACTTTATGGATGAACAAGAGACATCTGAAAACGCTATATATTAAGTTTGATGATGAAAATTTTTGATAAGGAATTTATTAATATTCTTCTATTATTCACAACGTATTAATATAATCGTTATTGAAACTTCGTATTTTTCATTAAAACTTTTTTTTAATAAAATAAATTTTGAAACGATCAAATCAATTGTTATGATTTATATTTATTTACATTACATTTGTAGAATTAATACAATATATGTATTTTACTATAATTAAATTGTTAACAAGTTTTTCAAGTTTAATAAATACATATTTATCTTGTTTCTTCTTAAATCATATATCATTAATATGAACAATTGTGATCTGTTACAGTGGTGTGGAGCCACAATGGTCTTGGGTGTGTCGGAACGATCGTTGTGAGCGGCTCCTAGCCTCAGAGACTTCTATACTACAATCTCTTCCTACGTGTAACATGCTCTGCGCGTCCACTCAGCTATGGCCGCAGCCGACCGGGCCCGTCAGTCTCGCTACAGCAACAGTTCATGTCAGATCCAGCGGCTTCACACTACAAGTCATATCCTCTCCATCAAGAGAAGTGACAGAGAACCTCAACGATGCCTTCCAATTGATGCGAGAAGACTTAAAAATTCTGGAGAAAAACGCGGGCGTTGAGAACAGAAGATCAGATAGTGGAAATCCTCGCGACGTTGTTGTGAGGGTCGCTGTGAACGGCAGCGCTGACCCACGCATGAGACAAGACACAGATGAGAGCTACAAGCTGTCCCTCAGACCGTCAGGGAAGTCCCTCGTCGCTGATATAACAGCGCATTCCTTCTGCGGAGCTCGACACGGCTTTGAAACTCTGTCCCAGCTAGTGTGGTTGGATCCTTACGCTGAATCTCTATTAATACTCGAAGCTGCCACCGTGGATGACGCTCCTCGGTTTAGATATCGTGGTTTATTACTGGATACGGCCAGGAACTTCTTCCCCGTAACGGACTTATTGCGTACCATCGATGCTATGGGAGCGTGCAAGTTGAACACGTTCCACTGGCACGTGAGTGACTCGCAGTCCTTTCCTTTGAGACTGAACAGCGCTCCTCAGCTGGCTCAGCATGGAGCCTATGGTCCCGGTGCTATATACACGACTGACGATGTAAGGGCCATAGTACGCCGAGCGAGGTTAAGAGGAATACGTGTCTTAATAGAAGTAGATGCGCCCGCTCATGTCGGACGAGCGTGGTCGTGGGGCCCTCCCGCGGGCCTGGGACACTTAGCACATTGTGTTGAAGTAGAACCTTGGAGTACTTACTGCGGTGAACCGCCTTGTGGGCAGTTAAACCCAAGAAATCCACACGTTTACACACTTCTTGAACAGATTTATGCCGAAATTATTCAACTGACCGAAGTGGACGATATCTTCCATTTAGGCGGAGACGAGGTCTCAGAGCGGTGCTGGACTCAACACTTTAACGACACCGATCCCATGGACTTATGGCTCGAGTTCACTCGCCGCGCCATGTCCGCGCTCGAGCGTGCTAATGGCGGTAAACTACCAGATCTAACGTTACTGTGGTCTTCAAGACTAACTCACACACCATACCTGGAACGTCTAGATAAGAAACGAACCGGCGTGCAGGTGTGGGGCTCCTCCCGCTGGCCGGAGTCTCGCGCGGTGCTGGACGCGGGCTACAGAACGATCATATCACACGTGGACGCGTGGTACTTGGACTGCGGCTTTGGATCCTGGCGGGACAGCTCCGACGGTCACTGCGGGCCTTACCGGTCGTGGCAGCAGATATACGAGCACAGACCGTGGATAGAGGAGATGCCGGCCATGTCCGCCGGGGTCGAGCCGTGGCAGGTGGAGGGAGGAGCGACGTGTCAGTGGACGGAGCAGCTCGGCGCGGGCGGGCTGGACGCGAGGGTGTGGCCGAGGACCGCGGCCGTCGCGGAGCGGCTCTGGTCCGACCGGGCAGAGGGCGCCACCGCTGATGTATACTTACGACTCGACACACAACGATCACGACTCCTCGATAAAGGCATACAGGCCGCGCCTCTCTGGCCGCGGTGGTGCTCTCACAACCCTCACGCCTGCCTTTAGTTTACATCCAACTAACTACCTGTCTGAGTGTGATGTAGTTATAACAATTTAGATAGCAGACGGAATATAACGAATGTGTCACATGTTCTTAACCACTATTACTTATTACGTGTTGTTGATGTTTTTTTGTAAATACTTGTATGATATCATATTATTTAAGTTACAAGCTAACACTTGTACAGCACTTAACGTAGACGAAGCTGAACTTAATAATAATAAATTAAAATGTACTCGTTATAACTAAATGATTAAATTAGGTAATTATATTTAACGTAGATAGGTTCAATCGACTGCCATCTTAGTCACAATTATTATGAAAGCTATTTCCTGTAGGAAGTATGCACAAGTGTCGAAAAGCACACTCATAGATGTAACAATACTTTGAAAGATGGTATATATTATACATATACGAGTTACTAAGTTAGCGTTTACAATAATAAAATCATCGCTTCGAAGGGCTCATATCAGAATGACAACACGAAGAAAGTTAAACGCTATATTTGTTACAAATTATAAATAGATTATAAACTCACAAGATATAGCTTGACAGAAATAATATTCTGAATGATTTTTACGTTGAGGTTAAATAATGACTTAGGCCTCAGACATAATAAGTAGTGTTATTTAAAAATTTATATGAAAAAATGCTAACAATTGTTAAAAAAATATTATTCAGAGAAGGCTCTCAAGTTTTTGCTATGATTTTTTTAATTTATTTTTAACTGAAAATCATATTTATTTTATTTACAATATTGTTTTTATACAGTATTTTCTATGTATAAAATCTTAGAATCATGATATATGTAATAATGAATTAGTTTACAATAACAACATACTATTACTATATACACGCTCAACGACATACATGAGTCCTATGATTTAATTATATATATGTTACTTACAATATATTTATTTATATCTATTTAAGAATGTAAATTCAACGCCAATTTATTTTATTTTCTCAGATGTTTTCTTTTGTATACATTTTGGAATATTTTAGAAAGAACCGAAAACTTATTAATTGTTTCTGATAAGACAGTACTATGTACTTGATTTAATATGTAAGTACAACCCACAATCAATTATTAATTTCGTGTAATCTTTATAAATGTATATTGTTCATATTTCACAATTTATTTACTCGTTAGTTGACGTCGGTGTTATTGTTTGTGATTGTTGACTTTAGTGATAGAGAATCTTTCGAAGGAAATAAAAATACATTGTCTAAAAACATATACCCGTATTGTTGAGTATCTTCTGTAACGGCATATCAGATTGGATCAATAATATTGTTATAAATATAATTGGATCTATAAGCATTACTAAACGTTTATTAGTTTCCTAAATTATTTAAGAATATATTGTTATTTAAACCATCGAGAGTTGTATCGAGTAATGAACGCTTTAAGGACTCGCTGTGTTTTGATAACTTTGTAAATTTAATCAAAAATACTCATACCGTTATCACATGTAACAGTCGTCTGGTTGAAATCTTCTGAATTTCGTTTGTAAATGACTTTATTTATTTATTTTAATATTCTAGATGTAAACAGGCACAATTTTGTACATTTTGTAAGTAATGTTTGGTGCTATAGCGATTTTGTGGTGTACTTCTATTGAAATAAAATAAGCTATAATATCTGGGACATTTCATTGAAATACCTTTAATAATAAGTTAATAAAATTTATTAATTAACCAAAATATGAATCCAACAATACATTCGGCGAATTTCATTTCTTTCTAAAAATGTTGCTCAATCTCCTGCCTTTGGGTGTGCTCTGAAACAAAACAAGTCTCATAAATAAAAAAATATAAATATAACATCTTCAACCATAACATACTTTAACCCTATAAATAACATTATTAAACGTTGATTAAAATTCAAGTGTAATACTAGTATAATTATAATACAACAATTATTATTTAGCAAAACGAATAATTTTTTTTCTTCATGCTATGTCATTATTTTTCATTTCCACAGCTAATACTACGTTTACGTGGAACGTTTCTTATTTTAAATAAATAACTAGCTGATCCGACAAACTTTGTTTTGCCTTATAAAAAAAAGGGTTGTATGTAGTTTCTAATGACACATTATAAAAAATCAAATACAAAAAAATTCTTTCAAAAATTAACAAAAATTAGGAGTAAACAACCCATAAGGGACGCGGGCAACATCTATTTTTCATACCCATAAGTCATAAGACTTAGGGGTATGAAAAATAGATGTTGGCCGATTCTCAGACCTACTCAATATGCTCACAAAATTTCATGAGAATCGGTCAAGCCATTTCGAAGGAGTATGAGAACGAGCATTGTGACACGGCATTTTTTTATATAAGATGACAAAGAACTTAAGCAAATAATAAATATTTATCCTACTAATATTATAATGGCGAAAGTTTGTGAGTGACGCTCAAACGGCTGAACCGATTTTGATAAAATTTTGTATACAGGAAGCTGACGTCCAGAAATAACACATAGGCTACTTTAAATCCTGGAAATCCGCGGGTAGCACCGCGGGGCGCAGCTAGTAGTAATATAAATTTCATCAACATTATCATGTTCTCACCTCTACAGTGTCATTCTTTGATCTGAACAAGGCTCGTATCCTGGAGGGCGTCCCTCTCTTGGTCGCTCCGTCCCTCGCCTCACGCACACACTCACGGAGCTCGGAGTCCTGGATTATATAAAAAAAGTTCTTATATTGAATAAGTTCTATTTTTTGGCTTGTCTTATATGTGATAATCTCACATATTATAAGACCTGACTATTTCATATTTATCTGAATGTGAGCTTTATCCATTACTTAATTTTTATGTTCGATTTTTACAATGAAATAAATGATCTCGTTATGTTTAGATTCAATATATGCTATTTAAAAGTAAAAAATTTTTTAGGTTGTCTTTTTTATATTCATCATCTGTGTCTGTGCTCTATAATCACCAATTGACATATAATATTTACACAAGTGTTAGTATCGTCGTAGTTTAATATTAAAGTTTCATATGTAATCCTCTAATTGTTTGATAGTACACTCACAGTAGCGGACAGTCTGCCGGCCTGTTTGCTGGGTGTGGGTGGCCCGGGCTTCTTGTAGGCCGTGATGCCGACCTCTTTACGTTGACGACCGCCCAGAGACATACTCGGACCGCCGGGGTTCTGGAAATATGACAAATACATATCTTTATATATATAATTCTTCTGTGAGTGTGTATGTCACTGAACTTCTCTCAAACGTTTGGACCGATTTTGATGAAATTTTTTGTGTGTGTTCAAGGGGATCTGGGAAAGGTTTAAATTCACAATTTTGTTCGCTGGGCAATGTTTTTTTGATTAATTTTTAATTTATTAGTAGTTGTTGATACAAACGTTTTTTTTAACATTAGATTTGACAACTAACTAATATGTCAATCATTCTGTCGCACTTCAAAACACGGAGATTTATGGCTTTAATAGGTAAACTCCAAAAATATAAATAAAAAAACGTAACAGATATTTCTTGATTATAGGGCGATACGAAGTTCGCCGGGTCTTCTAGTAATATATATAATGAACACGACAAAATATTTCATAATAAAAAATAATATTACATTTATCAATCTATTATACAATCAACTGATCTAATGTTTCAATTAAAAGTATTTCCCTGGTAACCAAATTTACTACATTCAACCCAACAATATAATTCTTTAAATGAGGCACGTTAGTGTCGTCAGTAACAAAACTATGAAAAAACGGTTTTATACTAATTTATCAAGGATCAATATAGAGTCTCTTCTGAATGTAAACCTCATGAAAAAACGTCACTATTATTATCAAACATCATTATTTTAAAGTTGGTAGAGCCGGCTACTACTTTCCTTCCTTGGCGACAAGTCCAAGTGTATGTAGGAGAATAAAATTTGAACCCCTAACACGGCCAGCCCCCTCCTCTTTAACACAGCGCCCGGAGCGACGACCAACCAACCCAACATACATATAATTGAGAAATGTCGTGTACGATAAAAAGATTTCTACCGAATATAAAACATTTCGACATTATGACTTGAAGTGACGGAAAGTTTTTATTAATAATTCTATAAATGTAAGTAAAATTACTACACTGCTTTATTATAAATAAATTGCTTCATTATATACTTAATCATTATGATCTATTATATAAAATTTAATAATAGTATAAAAACCTTGATGTCCTCCTCGTGTAATGCGGACACGAACTGTGTCTCAGCGGGGTAGGAGCTCTTTAGATGTGGCGGGCACAGTGAATTACGCCAGCGCAGTTCTGATAGGCGGTGTGGAGGGTGGGGAGGGTGCTGCTCGTGAGGGTGCGACTGTCGAGGGTGCGACTCACGAGGGTGAGCTCGCGGCGTCGAAGCCAACTCCCGCAGACAACGATTGTCGAACACCTCTCCTTCCTCATCAGACATATGAAGGGTGCGACCTTCTGTAATCATTGATTATTCCATTTATTTAATAATTAGAAGTTAATAATTACATATGCTTTCTAATTAATCATCTTTGGTGACATTTTGGGAATCAACCCATATAAAAACCATTAATCACATTTAACATTCATAGTGTTATGTCATACAAAACTTGTGTAAGACTAACTAACTTCAATCAACAATAATAATTCGTCACGCACTAGTTTCTAACTAGATATCGAATATAAGGATTGTAATTATAATATAAATAATGTATTATGTAATAGCTAATAGTATTATATGTTTCATATGATGGTCACCTTTTGTTTTGTCGTTATTATTGACAGGCAGAGACCGGAGGGAATGCGTGTCTGACGGTCGAGACGGCTCCTGAAGAGGAACGAGGCCGGACTGAAACATTATATTAGTTCATACAATATTTAATATTCTTCATACAAATATGAAGGTTTCTACCTTTTGTGTCATGATATATCTGAATATGAAAGGTGTTAAATGCATATTGACAATATTACATGATAATCTTTCTTTTCTCTGTATATTTTTAGGACAAG